AAAATTTAATTTATTTTAAAAAAAAAAAAAATAAAAATTTTAAAAAAAAAAAAAAAAAAAAAAAAATGATAACCTTTCTTTTATCTAGAATTAGTGAGTGAGAGAAAGAAAATATTCAAATAAAATTGATGCTAAGATTACATAATGTCATAATCTTTGTTGTTGTTGTTGCTGTTGTGTATTTGAATTTGAATTTAAATTTGGAAAAAAAATAAAAATTTGAAACATTTCATTTTTTTTGTGCGGATTATGATTAAGATATGTATGTAAAAAATAAATAAGGAAAAAATAAAGCTTATCCAAGGTTATTTTTTTTCTCGATTATATCATTCGAAAATCATTGAACAAAAAATGATGATAACATTGAACGAAAATGATGATGATGATGATTTTCAACAACATTTTTGTGACAAAAATATGATTTTTTTTGTCGTCAAAGATTTTTGTCAAATTAAAAAAAGAAAAATTTACATTTCAATTAGGATGATGAGGCTGATGAAGATAACAGCAAAAAATGACAATTTCAATGACAATCGAGTCAGCTCCAAAAAAATCATCTTCCGAATTCCTTGTTTGTTTGTTCCAATTTTGGAAATATATTTAATCCTTCCATTCCCTTCCCTTCCATCTCTGTTCCAATATTGCAAAATTATTAATTTAATTATCAGATTAAAGAAGAAGATGAAAAAAAATCACACAAAATTCATTTATTTTTTTGAAACTTTTTGATGTCCAAATAATCAAATTTTTGATGATGAGAAAAAAACAACAACAAAAAATCATTCTATTTGTGGATGACAATTCAAACAAACAAACAACAAAAAAAAACATTCAAATGTTTCATGGAACATTTACATTTAAATCCCTTAATCATTCATATCAATTATGGGAAAGATGTTTATCAATTTTAATTAAAAAAAATGGATCGTTTTCCATATTTCTTCTGTTTCTTCTTCCTTCAATGTCCTTGTTATTTGCTTAGCTTGCTTGTTTGTTTGTTGTATTTCTCATCATCATTTGTAATAAAAATGAATGAGAAAACTGTCCTAAGATTCTGTTCTATATAAAAGTAATTTGAGTGATCGATATTCGAATCAAACGAAAATCAGAAAAATCAACGCAGCAGCAATTCCAAGATCTGATCTTCTTTTTTGTTTGTTTTTTGATTCAAAATAGCGAAAAAAAAATGTTCAAAGTATGTTGATTTTTCTATGTAAAACAAGTGTTTGATTTACGAAAATTTTTTTTTCTTTTTTTTCTTGTAGCAAATTTTAATAATTTCCGTTTTAGTTTCGGTTACAATTGCTGATAATTATGGTGGTCGCAAAACAATTAGCGGTTATGGGGCTGCTTTAGCATCTCGACCATCTTATGCTGTTGCCGGTCCATCTTTGGTTGCTGCTCGTCCTGCTTTAGCAATTGCTGCCCGTCCTGCTTTTGCGGTAGCTGCCCGTCCCGCTTTTGCTGCTGCTGCACCGGCTTTTGTTGCTGCTGCACCAGCTTTAGCAGCAGCTCCAGCTTTTGCAGCTGCTGCCGGTCCAATTCTTGCTGCTCCAGCTCCAGCTTTTACTGCTGCTGCTGCTGCACCAGCTTTTTTTGCTAATGCTGCTCCAGTTGCTTCTTATGGTACATCGGGTCCAGCTATTGTTTCAGCTGCAATTCAATCTCGACATAATATTCAATATTATGATGTTCCAACTTCACGTCAAATAACACCAATTAGTATTGATATTGGTGCTAATGTTATTCCAGTTAGTATGGTATTCCGATCTGCATCATCACAACTTAGTGTTGAACAAAATCATCTTAATCAAGGTGGTAGTGTAAGTATAATTTGAATATTTACATATTTACAATTTTTAATACAAAAATTTAATTAATCACAGGTACAAGAAACAGCTAGTCAAGATGAACCACATGTATTAAGACATACTGTTCATAAACCAATCTTACAAGAAGTTCGTGAAGTTATTGTTCCAATGAGACGAATTCAACAGGAAATTCAACCAGTTCAAGAAGAAGTTCAAACTTTGATTGCTCGTGGACGACAACAAGCTACACAGGTTGCTACTGTTGTTGCTGCTCCGGTCGCTACTGTTGCTGCCGCACCTGTTGCTGCTGCTCCAGTTGCTACTGTTGCTGCTGCACCTGTTGCTACTGTTGCTGCCGCACCTGTTACTACTGTTGCTGCTGCTCCAGTTGCTACAGTTGCTGCAGCTCCAGCTGCCGCTACTATTGCCGCTGGTCCAGCTCTTGCAACTGGTCCTGCTTTTCTAATTGCTGGTCCAGCTTTCACAACTGGTCAAACATTTGCAACTGGTCCAGCATTAGCTGCTGCTGCTGCACCAACTTTAGTTGCTGCTGGTCCAGCACAATTTACTGGTTTTCTTGCACCAAATTCTGGTTTTGCTACACTTGGTCATCATCAAAAATTTTTAGCTGCTCCAGGTTTGACTGGAAATATTAAATTTAAAAAATAAATTTTCAAAAAAAAAATTAATTCTATTTACTATACACACTTAAACACAAACCAACCTCTTTTCTTATTCCAAAGATGAAAAAACAAATTGCATACAAACATCATCCAATAAACAAACAACACACATATAAACGCATCTGATTCACATTGATGTTATTGTCCAATTTTCCGATATTTATCTAATTACGAATTAAACACGTAAAAATTAAAAAAATTAAAAAAATAAAATAAAACATCATATAAACAGATGTCATAATATATAATAATAATAAACTTTATTAACGCACACTGCAAAATGCATTTGTGCAAAATGTCATAATATATTAATTCTGTTTTTGAAACGTCAAAATTCTTGATTAATTTCTTTATTTTTGATTTTAAGAAAACTTATTTCAAAATTTACACTCGAAAATGAGCACCGTTTACTTATAACCGTTTACTCCAATATAAACATTCTTAATGTAAACATTCTCACTTATTCGAACTGAAATTGACAACGGTCCTTCGAATTCGAATTCGAATCCGCCAATTTTTCAGCCCTTCATATAGTCTGTTACATTTTTTCAAATATTGCAATCAAAATGGATACATTTTTAAATTAATTCATTTTTCAAAATAAAGTAATGAAATAATCCATTTGGCGGTTCTCCCAGGCCTTAAATATGATTTTCTATTTCTTGGCCGTTGTCGTTAATCATCATCTTGTCCTTGATCAAGCGGTCTATTTGTTTTTTACCACTTGTCCTGCCTTAAACCATTGATGACAATATAGTTTTTTATTGCGATGGTTTATTCCTTCTTGGACATTTGTTTTTTTTTATTAAAGCAATACCGTGACAATTCTCTTTGTAATTCGTCATGACTGATCGTCAATTGCCATAAAACACCATCCAATTCCTAAGATTGCCGACTAACTCTTGGTCCCACGCCTTTCGTTTTCTTATGCCATCGTGCATTTATTACCATCATTAAGGATTACCATCCATAAACTGCAATTCCTTGTTAAGCCCTTTCTGTCGCCATTTGTTTGCTTTATGCCATTCGTTTGTCTGATGATTAAAGATCAAAGAGAACCGGTCGGTAGATCACACGGGTCCATCCATGGTTGTCGGTCCGGTCCTTTAAGACATCACATATATCTGAGAAGAAAAATATAATTGATTAAAATATTGATGATAGAGGAATCCAAAAATTTTTTGCATGTGCCGCTACTTCTTAAAATGGGGAAAAAAATTGGGGTCATTTTTCTCAGTGTACCAAAAATACATACAGTCAAACAAAAAGAGTGTACAAAAAAAAAAAAAAAAAAAAAAAAATCTGATTTATCAGAAAGAAAAATTGAAAATTTTTATTAACAACCATTAATGAGATAAATTTTCGCGCGTTTTTTTTGAAATTTTAATTTTTTTTTTAATAAAATAAAAATTCAAAGATAAAAATCAAATTACAAAATAAAAATAAAATAAAAGTTTTGAAAGTAAAATTATTTGGATATGATGATGAATTTACATGTGTTTTTTGTTGAGAATATTGTGTTGTGTATTGCGATTTTTGAGGGTAATATGTAAGGATGTGTTGTAAAATGGTATGTTAAACATATATTAATTATCATATGAAGGATGTTTATGAAGTTTATGATTTTTTAAATTAGAATTGTCTGCAGATGCATATGGACATTGATCACATTTGTATGGTTTATCACCTGTATGTATACGAAGATGTCTTTTTAAATTATTTTGTTGTGTTGTTGCATATTCACATTGTTGACATTTGAATGGTTTTTCACCACTATGTATACGAATATGACTTTGAAAATGATATTTTCGTATTGTTGCATATTCACATTGTTGACATTTGAATGGTTTATCACCACTATGTATACGAATATGACTTTGTAAATGATATTTTCGTATTGTTGTATATTCACATTGTTGACATTTGTATGGTTTATCACCTGTATGTATAAGAATATGCCATTGTAAAGCTGATTTGAATAAAGTTGCATACTCACATTGATCACATTTGTATGATTTTTTACCTGTATATATACGAATATGCCTTTTTAAATTGCTTTTGTATTCAGTCGCATATCCACAGTGATCACATTTGTATCGTTTATCACATGAATGTATGCGTTGATATCGATCAGGCAAACATTCATCAACATTATCAGCATCAACATTCACAACATCAATAATATCATCATCATCACTAATATCGATTGTCATATTCGAAGAATCGTTATTTTTATTCAACAATGATGTATTTTTCGCATTCGATTGATGATTATCATACGAATCTTCATCATCATCATTATTTGTTGTAATTTTTGTCGAACATGTTTGTTTTGATGATTCATTATTTGATTCTACACTGGTGAAATATTCTTCATCATCATCCTCATTATCATCGGGCAACGAAGTACTATTCGATGACAAATCCATTTGTTGTTGTTGTTGCTCCAAATTATCATTATTGATTTGCTGATTTGTTTGGATTTCAATCAAATCAGATGGATAGTGTTGATGATGATGCTGTTCGGTGATTTTATTGATTTTTACAGAATCTTTCAATTCAAAAAGCATCTTTTCCATTCGATCTAATCGTGATATTATTATCGATAGGGCTTTTTTTTCTCCGTTATTATCAATATTAACTGGTGTTGTTGTTGATGAAGAATTCATTTTTTAGAAATCTAATTGGATTTGTTTATTTTTTAATGTTAAAAAAATAATTTCGAAATGATGAATATTTCAAACACGAAAGAAACAAGTTCAAATGCCGAACGATGATATGCAAATGATCGATTGACATTGATGACACCAACATTTGTAGCAAAAAAATCAATTTAGAAACGAACCAAAATCGTAAACAGAAAATACAACCAAAA